TAAAATTAAAAAAAAAGTATTGTGTGTTAATAAAAATAAATACAAAATTCCAAATAATCCAGTTAATCCCCCAACTCATCTACAAATTATGGCATTTAGAAATTAAAAGGACAAACAAAATATTAAAAAAACGAAATTTATTTAATATTAGGTATGATTTAACTTCACCTTAGAAATGTTATACAGTGTGAAATGGACTTTTCCTAATTGCAGTATAAGATATTTTAAATTTAATAGTTTTATATAGAAAACAGCAAAATGAAATCCCTGTCAAAGACATGGAACAGGTTATTACTTTAAATTTTAATAAATAAAAACAGGTTGTTTGAAACGCAATCAAATTTACCGAAATAAAATGTATAACAAATTAACATCATTTCAAAATATACATACTTAGACTTATTTAATAGACATCTAAAAGCTCTCACATTATTAACTGCATTAATTTGTATTAAAAACACACAAATAAAGAACAATTGCTTTATTTTTTGGTGTTGTCTAAATTTAGTATATAGTAGATCGGAAATACCCATTAATACAATATACAATGATTATTTAAAAATATATTGTATATAGAAAATAAAAATAAAGAAGAAAAAATAAAAACAAACTAACTGACAATAACAACAAAACCTAGAAAATATAAATAAAAATAATTAAAAATAAAACAAACAAAATAACAAATAAATATTGCATCTAAATGAGTGGGTTGTTTTGGCTGGTTGATCTTTTTCGATTGCAGCATCTTATGAAAATGTCAGAACTACTACAAGTAATAATAACAAAAATTGCAATAAATAAATTTAGAAAATGCTAAATATTAGGGTATCTCCCGATCCCGAGAGTGATCTTCAGAAAAGTTAATTGTTTGGTTTTAATTTAACAAAAAATACTTGTACTGGATGTAAAAGTTCTATATTCGGTTAGTTGGAGCATGAAAGAGTACCAGAGAGTGCCCTTTTTATAGATTTTCATTCAATCATGGCGATACGTTTTTAATTCTGTGTTTCTAGTTAGTTAGTCTTATAAATTTTTATTCCATCAGGATCAATAATTCAAAAATATAAAAAAGTACCATGTGAATGACGAAAAAGTACCAGAACCCCTTTTATAATTTTTCTTTCAATAAGTATGCTGCGTGTTTAATTTCAGGTGGAAGTACGACGCGTCGACAGCTGATCTGGGTTGTATTTTGTTTTGCGTAGAAGAATAATAAACTTAAATGAAATAAATTTCTCCAAGAATGGAAGAATAATATTAAAAAAATTTTGATTTTTAAAACACTAATTGTCTTAAAAAACATTAAAAGAAAGATCGAAGTGACGCGTGGTGTGAAACTTGCAGCTTATAAAGTGCGAGAAGTTTGAAAAGCGTGAAACGCGTTGCCGCCTCAACGCGTGTTGTGTACTTCCATATTTTGCGTTTCTAGGTTCAATATTATAAAATACTAGCTATACCCAGTGTGCCTTGCTTCCCTAAAAACAATATAAACAAAAAACTCACTTTTTTCCAAACGTCAATTTATATATTAATGTATTATAATATTTACCCAAATATACGAATTTATGCATTTAATTCATATAAGAGGTGCCAAATAATACATATTTTCACATGAGTGTTAAAGTTCTTCGTGCGAAATTTGAGGATTCTAACTCTTATAGTTTCCCAGACGTGCAAATTTTTGTATTTAATTCATATGGGATGTACCACGCCCCTATTGCTAGTCCGCCAATTTAGCACATAAATGTTAACATGGATGTCAAAGTTCTTCGTGCAAAATTTCTCAATTCTAGCTCCAATAGTTTCCCAGATATAAGAATTTGTGTGTTTAATTCACATGGGAAGTGCTACGCCCCCTATTGCTAGTCCCGCCATTATGCCCAAATTGTTCATATGGATTTTAATATTGCGCGTGCAAAATTTTAGAATTCTAACTCTGATGGTTTTCCAGATATAAAAATTTTTGTATTTAAGTCATGAGGGGTGCCCCGCCCCTATTAGTATCATTGTGGCTCCGTTAGGATTACAACTATTATATTTTTTCAGATATACTGTAGAGGTGCCACGCCCCCTACAGCCATTTTGTCCCCAAATGTTCACACGGATGTCAAAATTGTCCATATAAAATTTGAGGACTCTAGCTATTTTAATATATATTTTTTAAGTGGCATCTCGCCTACTTGAAATTTCGAAATAGAAAGTTGCATATAATACCTTCCAGACATACAGGAAAATTCAGTGAAAATTTCAACAAAATCGGTCCAGCCCTTTAAGAGTCTATAGACTTCAAACACACTCACAAACAAATAAACACAAATTCATTTTTATATACATATGTATAAATTGTATATACATAGATTCAAAAAGTACCAGTTAAAGAACGAAAAAGTCCCAATACAAACAAGTTATACTTTATTGTCCCACCGTAAGTTTGAGTTCAGTTAAGGACTTCGGTAAAAAGTGAAGCTACGGGAACTTTAGTTATTATAGTTCTATTTATAGATAACATGTGATTTATAGGAAATACATTTCATTTTATCACATCACATTTGCTGATGAATTAGTTTTTTTTTATCAAGATTGCCAACAGAAGCTTACTTTGGGCGTATGAAAAACTACAAAATCACATTTCAATTCTCACATTAATATAATAAAAATGTTGAATAAATGATTCAATATACGAGTAAGAGAGGATATAACACTGATAGATGTATGAATGGATTGATGATGGCATACAACTAATGTTTCATTATTTATTATTCGGCATTATACAGGTGCTATTTATAAGTGAGAACAAAAAAAGAACGAAAAAAAAAAACAAACAAATGAACGAACGAATAAACAAAAAAAGTAAAAATAAATTGCATTAAATTATTGTATATTTAGATTTGCTAAAACAAACACAGATTTTGAAATAACTGCATACATACAGTGTGGCAAACAATTATTAGAACTGGTTTGAAGCACCAAAAACAAAATAAAATTGTAATCAAACAACAATTTAAAACAAACATGTGATTTATCTAAAACTAGTTGGAAGAAAAAATATCGAAATTATAAATTTGTTTAATAATGACAACGGTGTTCTCTCAAATTAGCGTATCTGTCTATGTTTATAGTAATTTTATTAAGAACTAATATCAATGGTTGTGCACTAATAAATCCTGACTTTTAAACCAACAATTTTAATGAAAATTTCAAACACGACACTTTTAAATCAACTTGTCAATAAATGTACAATTTGACAGCTAATAAGAAAATTAACTCAATTTTCAATTTTGTATAAATCAAGAAATTTTTACCACCAACACTGTATGTATAAACATACATACATGTATGCATAAGTATTTTAAATGCATTTTATTTATGTATTTTTTTTTTTTTCTTCAAAAACCAAATGTGCTTTAATTAGACTTTATTTTTAACTTTGTTAACAGCGAAAAAATACACAAAAAATCTCAATGTGTTCTAAATTATTTGTGATACGATGCTATTTAAAATTTTTTTGTTTCTTCGTTTTTTCTCACAAAATGTAAAAATTCAAGAAAAAAACTTGTTTAATTTTGGTATTAAAATTCTACATTGTTGCATCGTCATATTTTGTAATTTATTATACACATATACATAATTGCGTTCAAAACCGCAATAATGGAAATATTTGCAAAAATAAAGGTCAATTATGTATTGAATGAAATTTACAAATATTTCTTTATTACTTTGGAATTCAAAAAAAAAAAAAAAAAAAAAAAGTAAAAAGCCATAAAACATATTATGTAGGTTATTTTGTTTATTATTAAAAATAATTTAAAATCGAATACTAACTAAAAAATTTTTTGTTAAAAAGCTAGTTTTTAGTTAAAACATCAAATTATTAGTAATAGTCTGTACGTATTTTATTACAAAAAATCAAAAAAGTGATTCAATTAGTATGTTAAGTGTTTAATTTTGCTTTTTTTAGGTTAATAATATTATAAAAGATTCAAAAAGTACCAGTTGCAAAACAAAAAGTACTAAAAAATTCACTCTTATAAATTTTCATTCCATCAGGATATATGTACATATGTATGTATGTCTGACTTTATGCATAAAAACCAAAAAGTGCCAGTTGAAGAACGAAAAAGTATCAAAAAATCTTTTCAAATTCAAAAAGTGCCTTTTAAAAAACGAAAAAGTACCAATAAGTTTCCTATAACAGGAACAAATCAAATAGTACCAGTTAAAGAACGAAAAAGTACCAAAAAGTCCCCTCTTTAGGTTCACATTTACTCCGGGCTCTACATGCTTAATTTCTTGTTTCTAGGTTCAATATTATAGAAAATTCAAAAAGTACTTTTTGAATACGAAAAAGTACCAAAAGGTCCCCACTTACAAGTTCTCATTTATAGATAATTTAAAGTGTACCTTTCGAAGAACGAAAAAGTACCAAAATGTTTTCTTTTTATGGGTTATTATTTACTAAGCATGTAATTTAGTAAAAATCATAAAATCGAATTTCTAAAAAAAAAATATTTTGAATAATATGAACTGCATTTTTAGTAAGTCATATTTAGATTTAAAAATCAGAAAAAATAAAAAATTCTTCATAGTATTTATTTATTTATTTGGCTCTCCTGACAGCATCTACTGTGAATTCGTCAATTACTCAAAACACTTTGATCGATCGATTTTGTTGCTATTGCTTTCTAATTTCTAATATTAACTTTTTCTCTTCAGGTGTTGCAGTAAAACAGTAATAATTATGCCAAACTAATTTGACACGCCTTTAATTTGTTTTATTTTAAAAGTCACAACATTGACACACATTTTATTTTGTAATTTTTGGCACACAGCCGAAAAAAGGGTTTGCAACACCTGCAGCATGTGCAAAAAATAAAAAAAGAAAATACAAAATAAAAAACGATCTTAAACCATTATTATGATAAAAGCAAAAGCATAAAAACAAATAGTACAGAAAGAAATTTAACCTTAAAATAACAAGAAAACTTTTATTTTTAACTCACCTCTAATATTTGTTGATCCAAATCTGTGGATGGAGCAGCTTGTATACGACTAAAATCCAAAGTACCCGGTGTTATGTGCAATCTTTCATTAGTACCAGAATCGCGGGAGAGATCTATAAATACAAAAGCAAAATGAGCGAATAAGACCAAGAATATAAATAGAAATTTAAAATTATACAAAAGAAGTTAAAAACAAATATTTCAAAATATATAAGTAGAAGAAAAAAAAAAACGAAAAACATCACATCTTTTATAGCAATTTGAAAAAAAAAAACATATTTTTCTTAATTTCGTTTTGTATTAAATTGCAAGTATAAACAAAGAACAACAAATTTTGAAAAAGGAAGGCATTTACGTGGGTATATGTAAACATTTAAAAGTTTAAAAATAAAACTTAATGTATTTATATTTTGATTCACTATTATAAACAAAAAAAATTGCTGCGTTTTTATAAATAATGAATGAAATTTTTTTCATATTGTACGTCTTTAATTATCGATTTGAATATGATAAAGCTTAAAATCAGCTGCTATTTACCAATTTTGAAATTACTATTTCTCTTCAATTTTACACTATTGCCTTCCGACAGTACGAAAGGCTTACAATTACCATTATTAACACCTCTTAAGATTTCCACATATACAGTATTCGTCGATTTTGAAGTTTTGAATACCACTGTGTTAAAAAAAGTGGAAGCTGATGGAATTCCGTATGGAAATCAATGGGAACATTAAAGCATGTATTGTAATTGTAAAGATTATATCGGAAGGTGGTTCTAAACATGTACTTAGGGGTATAATCGGGGCTTGAGTCAATTAAGTGCCCAGCTCTGCAGAATTTGAAATTTGACTATAGACTAGACCATACATAGACTAGACTATAGACTAGACTATAGACTAGACTATAGACTAGACTATAGACTAGACTATAGACTAGACTATAGACTAGACTATAGACCAGACTATAGACTAGACTATAGACTAGACTATAGACTAGACTATAGACTAGACTATAGACTAGACTATAGACTAGACTATAGACTAGACTATAGACTAGACTATAGACTAGACTATAGACTAGACTATAGACGAGACTATAGACGAGACTATAGACGAGACTATAGACTAGACTACAGACTAGACTACAGACTAGACTACAGACTAGACTACAGACTAGACTATAGACTAGACTACAGACTAGACTATAGACTAGACTTATTATCGTTAAGGCATGCGGTATTTTTCGATGCTAAAAATTACTGAAAAAAGTACTAAAGTACTGAAATTTCCATGCCTGATGGTGGATATATAAATTATTTTAAGTTTTGGACAACAAATAATCAAATCTAGTTTGTTTTTATTTCTAGACAGGAAATAGAACTAAATATGTGGAATTATATAAAACATTTATAACACTTTTCGGAAAAGTTTCTCATGTTGGGAACAATGGAGTAGGTAGGTCTTTTCAAAAATCAAAAACATTTTAAAAATTTGATTATGATCAGTGCATAATTGCCACAAATCTTTACTGTTACCCAAATATACTTTTTTAATTGTTGTTAATCAGAAAAGTAATGAACAAATTTATAATAATACTAAATTTTACATCTCTGTTGAAAACTATAAAAAATCTCTCTCAAAATATCTGCTGAATAATTGTATATACAAAACATACATATTTAAAAATTATTTATAGATTAAATACAAGTGTATAGTATAAATTTAGCAAATCATTTTTATTTTTTATTGAGGGAAAAATCGATAGTTGAGTTTGTGCTACGAAAAAGTAGTAAAAATCAAAATTCAAATTTTAATAACACATAAATGTAAATGAAATTAATGAAAATTAATTTTAAACAAACAGCTATAAGTTATTGATGTATTAATGAATTCTTTGGAATTCTAAATAAAATTTGGCGCAATTTTTATGAATTGCGTTTTTATTTATTTAAAATTCATTTTGAAAAAAAAAATGGAAACTTATAATGAATGTATGGTTTATTTTAAACTACTTTTGGCTTTTATCTTCTTCCGGGCGCAATGCAACGTAATAAAAATAAAACGATAATGAATTTGATATATTTACTAAAGTGGATTAAAATTAATTTTAAACTTTTAGTACGCTCGTAGCAAATATTGTTAACAACCTACATCAATATGAGATTAGTAATCTAAAATGACACAATTAATCATAAAAAAGTTGTTAAATTTATAAACCCGAAAAAATATTTCTTTATTTTTTAACATTTTCTTAAAATGTATTTAAAAATGAAGCAGTGTTTTTGTTTTCTAGTAACTTTTAACAAAATTTGAATTTATTACGGAAATTACCGATTATTATAAAATATTTGGCAGGTATGATAAGAGTAATTGTTTTTTTATTTTTGTTTTGTATTATATCTATTTAAAATTGTACATTTTATAAGACAGAATGGAAATATTTCTGGGTGTTACCAGCGGAGTGGTAAATTTATAAATAAATTCATTCAAAATAAAATAAATTGTTCTTTATAAAAATACACCCAGAAAAATTTGGTGCGTTATTTACACAGAATTTTTGTGAATAAAATAATTTTTAAGTAAATTTTAATCATGTCAAAGAAAAATTATTCAGTTAAATATATTAAAAATAATAAATAAAATTGCAGAACCGAACGTAATCTATTTTAAAAATATAAAGAAATCAGCTGATGACTGCTTTGGCGAGACAAACAATACAATTGAATTTGGTAAGTGTCAAATGTTAGATTTTTCAATGTGATCATTGAACCCCCATTTAATAAATCACATAATTATTTGTAATAAATAATGAAAATTAAAAATTTAAATAAATTTGTTGATAATTTTTGTAAAAATATTGACAAATATTTAAAATTAAATTATTACCCAGTTTTTCAAAGAAATAAACAAACCTCCATGAAGTTTGTATGTTGCTATGAGTCTTTTATAAAAGTGGAACCTCTCCTTTAAATAAAATTTCTTTGAAATATTTGTTTAGCGCTCCATAAATTAAAGAAAAAAAAAAAAACAAAGCAAACAAAGCGACAGACAAACTATTATTTCCGTCACACCTGTACGGACGAATGACTAAATGAGTGAGTATCTATGCAATTATGTTTATGATATTTTTACTTTTTTTATTCATTTATTATCAGAAAAATATGACGTTTCTTTTTATGATGTTTATGTCTACAAATGTTTAACACTCTATATAAATGTATGTATGTAGAGACATAGATATAGTATCAATGACAGCATATCAGTTTGTCTAGATTCATTATTATTTTTTTATTGCTGTGGTTTTTAAGGTTTAGTTCATGTCGTTTCTTGTTAAGATATTTTTGGGTTGATTTTAATTCACATATATTCTTATCAATCAAAAATAAGTTATAAAGTAAAAAGCCTTGAACGAATATATACCGTTTATTGGGGTATGGGGTTTCTGGACAATAGCAGATTGATCGACCGGAAAGATCCTATATGTCATTTTTATTAAATGTTTATTTTCTCGGATTTGGTCCAATTATGGATCGAATGATTTTTATGGTAAATGATTTAGGTATACATACTTCATGTATGTAGTTATTATGATTATTTTAAAAGATGAGTAAGGATGGCTGAGGTACGCATACCCCTACACATGTATACACTTGACACTAACCCATTTTCCAACCCTTAGACACTCACTCCTCTGTTGCTTCTCCAATAGTATCAACCTTATTGATTTTAACCCTGTATGAGTCTTTTAATCAACAATCTTTTTCCGTGAATTTGGGTTTCAACCACATAGGGTAAATGCACCTAATGTCGGCATCACCCAGTAGTCGACATCTTTTAAATAAAAATGTAAATAAATAAGAAAATATGGTCTTTTTGCTCCATGAAATGAGTAAATTTAAGTAGGATTACTAATTTTCTCTCTATTTGACATTATTTAGTGACACTTTTGCAGCATATGCAGTACTGTCAGTTTTCTTAAAAAAAATTTAGTTTTAGTGCCACCTTAAACAAGTAAATATTTACATTAAATTAAATGATTTAATTGACAAAAATTGATTTAAATGAAAGAAAACAGTTGAAATATTCAATTTAAAGTGAAAAAGTTAGTTAAAAATATATATTATTTTGTAATTTTAATTGCTGCCGCCATTAGGAACAAAATTTTTATGAAATCTTATTGTCGGCATAGGGGTGCCGACTACTGGGTATTAAGTTCGATCATACGTATTCTATAGTCGGCACTATAAAATTTATTATTTCTTTATAGAAAATTGGGTATATTTTTATGGCTAATTTGTATATAACAATTTTCTCTTCAAAAATTATATGTATAACAGTTATTTTTATAAAAAAAAATTATGTATAACACTTGTATCTATAAAAATTTATGTGTATTACAATTTCCTCTATAGAAAATTGATTGTACAACATTTGTTTCTATAGGGAATTATGTGTATAGAATTTTTTCTATAGAAAATTTTAGGTATAATAATTTTTTATACAAAAAATTATGTGTATAACAGTTTTTCTATTAAAAATTGTGTGTATACCCGTTTTTTTCCATAGAAAAACTTCTATAATAGCTTTTTTCTATAGAATATTAAAATTTTCTCTACAGAATATAATTTTCTATACAAAAAACATGTGTATAACAGTTTTTTCTACTAAAACTTTTGCATATTGATTGCTCAACTGTTTTTCTACAAAAAAATATGAGTATAACAGTTTTTTTCTATAGAAAATTCCTAGTATGACAATTTTTATATAGAAAAGTGTTCTTATTATAATATCCACTATGAAACTTATGTTTAATTTTTTCCTATAGGAAATTGCATATTGTTATAAAAGATTTTCTTTAAAAAACAGTACATATAACACTTTTCCCTATAAAAAATTAATTGTTTCTCTAACAAAAATTATAATATTGTATAGAAAATTGCATGTATAACTCTTTTTCTATAGAAAAAATGTTATTATGTATACTTATTACAATTACAATTATTTTTATAACATATTTTTCTACAGAAAAAACGATATTATTACAGTTATTTCTATAGAAAAAATTTAATTAAATATTTTCTTTGTAAAATTGTGTATATATCACTTTTTTCTAT